CTCCAATCCAAAGCTAGCATTACTTGACTAACGAGTAAATATGTCAGTCCAGTACGTTCTAATGACTGCTGACATACAACGCACTAGTGTTAGACAAAACATGATTTACTTCCAAATTAAAATCATATAAAATTCAAAACAGTACAAATCAGGACCATGCTATATCACTAATGTTACCAAAACAAAAAAACCTGACACATATTTGCTTTGGATGCTATCACATCCTGAAAGAGGAACACCACATCTGAGTCCTTTCGCTCCTTTTAATAATCTCCATCTCAAAGAGTCAAACTGACGCTAACCCTGGTTTTTGCTCTTTCTCTGTCCCACACAAAACAACATGACCACTTTGGGCTGTTTCGGGCTTTTAGCTGCTGAGAGCTCTCCCACAGCTGGTTGCTTAAAATGACTACTCAAAAAACGCTTCTTTTAACCTTCACTAGGTGGCAGGCGGGGGCTAATTTAAACCATGATTTCGACAACACAGGGTAGAGAAGCTGAATAACAGAAGGGTTGCAAGTAGCAGACTGTCATGTAAGGGGATAAGATAACGGACAGATAACTCATTCTGTCCTATTTTCTCTTGATTCATCAGACAATGTGTAAAATCTGACTTGATGCGCCTTTAAGTAGGTCAAACATTGCAATGTTTAATTCAGTCAGTATTATCCAACCCTGACTGTGCATTGTATTTAAAAAAATAATAAAAGCCACACATTTCACTCTAATATTAGTCACAAATAACAAATGTTGTTAATTATCATTATCATGAATTTCATGTTAGAATGCTCTCTAATTATATTCAACATTATGAAAAGTTAGTTTACTTCTGTTTGCAGCATATCATAGCACAGTCAGTTGCAGTTTTACACTGACATTTCTGAAAGACCTTCATATTGAAAATAGTCCACAAGTTGACATTAACATTACCCTGACCAAGTCTTGCTAAATATGTGAAAGGCCTGGAGCAGATCAAAGATGTGAAGGCCCCACTATGGCCAACCCACTATGGCCTGGCAGGATCCAAAGGGCAACTGTGAAATTCTAAACACATTCTGGGAAACAACTCACACTCCTAAACAAACTTCTTCGGCACTGGTCATGTAAAATTGACAACTTAATGTCAAACAAGAAATGCAAATCCTTACTGAGACTGAAAGCTGAATGGATGGCTAAGGAGCCAGGGTTACTATGGAAACGGATGAGAGCTAAGGCGCTAAAGTGTGTTAAAACAAGCTAAATACAATATATATACAAAAATGTGGGCAAGCATAGGTCCTAAACGAAGCTAACATGATATGTGACAACCCGACCACGTGACAGTGCTTCAAATACACGTCAGTATTTGATCCAGGCCTACTCCGAAGGATGACAATTTCTCCACTCCCCTGGAGTACCAACAAGCTAGCGCGCAGCAGCACCACACACCAGTCGCATCCTTAAAGCACAGCAGCTGGATGTCCAGTTACACACACACACGACGAGTGTGGTAACGTTACCAGATTAAGAAAACATAGGCTCCTGTATCACTTACGAGAGAAAGATTCCCCTTATCTACCGTGTGTCGTCCTGTCCATGACATCAGCTGGTATCCGGGTGTGTGAGAGAGGGTGCGGGAGCGCGCAGGTTGCAATCACATAAACGGCACCAGCGGAGGCGCGCAGTCGTCTCTCAATAGTAAACGCTTAAAGTACCAGCTCCTGTATCACAACAACAGTTTAAATCTCCCACATACATGTTTTGGCTCCATCGTTCAAATGATCAAATCTGGCAAACTGACATCTTAATTATCCTATAACCTAAAAAATTAAATCTTTGCAAATTACTGATTTAAGAACAGTGCGGCCAGGTCAGGGCACAACAGAGTTCCTGTGAAATGAAAGGGGCAACATCCACTCCACTCTCTGGGTAGTTCATAGGCTTTTTCTTCCTTTGAAAAATGTGCCAAAAGTTGTCTGCTCAGGGATCTGCAGTAGACTATGTTAACATTTACCCAGTTTTATGTTGAAAGGCTTAAAAATATTGTCCATTTGTGGTTGCTATGATTCAAAGATCAGTTTGACTGCCAGAAAATGACATTAAAAAGACAAGAAAGTACATCTTAAAAGTTTAATGAAGTGCAATGGAAAATTGGATTTGCATTTCTTTGCAATGTGAGAAACAATATAAAGTAGCCTCTTAACAATAATATTAAGATGCTATGTCATAATATTAAACCAGTTACTCTTGTCTTTGTTTTATGAACCACTGACTACAGAATAATGGTCATATCACTTTAAAACACTTATTAATCCATTGTTAATTATGCACCATACCACAGTGTGATGGTGCAGTTGGTTAAATGTTAATTTAAATGAAGATGAAGATGTGAAAAAAATGTAGGAACCCTTATATGGCAGTTTCACAGCTTTTGCAGTGTTTACCGTATGAGCAGATCAATGAACTCTGCAGCTTTGTAACTCAGCCTTCCCAATAACACTATAATTTATTTACAATGAAATAAAACTAATTTTATGCTGGCAAATACTCTAATTTAGTCTGAGATTTAGTCTGACATTTTGGCAAAGAAACTGCTTTATAGTGCATGGTTATGTTTTGCAGAAACGCCTCAACTCTTTGAACTCCCACTAATCTGAGCAACAACAATGATTCAGCAGAGAGAACTAATTAAAAAACACATAAATGAACATTACATCTTAACACACTGAGAGGAGCCTGGGGTGATGGAGGGCACAATAACAAAATGCATGAATGAAGCAGGTGATACCAATCTGTTACCAGGCCTATGTATCTCTCAACAGAAATTTTGACATGTTATTGTTAGTGGATCTAATACCACTAACAAAGCCCAGAGACCCATCATACACAAAGCTGGGAACCCTTGCAACTGGCAAAAATGGGCAGGATGCAGCCATTATTGTTGTTATTAACCACATCTGTGCTTTTTGTACTACAATGTCAAAATGCCCACTTCTATGTGCAGTTCTAAATAAGCATATCTTTAGTACTCTGCCTCAACTTATGCAATATTTAATTCACTGTAGCATACAAAGGTACAAAATGTTGCATGTATTCTCTACTATCTTAAAAGACAGACTGGTTTATTTATTGGTCTTTGTTGGAAGCTAATGCCTGACTGTTGTAGAACAGTAGACAGGTGATATTCATTCATTCTCTATACCACAGTTTAGAGTCACCAATCAACCTAAGGCACATGTCTTTGGACAGTAGGAGGAAGCCAGAGAGAACCCACGCAAGCACAGGGAGAACATGTAAACTTCGCACAGAAAGGCCGTGAACCCACAGCGAAGCAATAGCACTAACCATCGCGCCACCATGCTGCCCAGGTGATATTCATTGGATTTGAATTTTTGCATTATAATTTCAGATCAAAGTTGAAATGTGTGTCCTTAGTGCTGAAATATTGTTTTGAGTACACCTCATTCTCAATTGTTACTGGATTCAGTCATCATTTTCACATTTGTGCTTTGTGTCAGGAAGAGCACAGAAGTGTCTACAGTTCTGTGAAAAACTATGTGAAAAACTAACACACGTCTTTTTCACTCACCTTTTCCTTTTCCATTAATGAAATAGCTTCCTCTAGGACTCCTCGACCATGCAAGAACTCACTTAAATCCCATTTTTGGGCAGCATGCAGCTCCTCTCCAACTTGACTCAAAGCCACTCTCTCACTCACTGAACTTGGATCTTTACAGGTATCCAGACCTCTGAGTTTAAAGTCAGAATTCTGACTTTGAAATTCTGAGGTCAAAGTCAGAATTCTAGAATGTTGACTTCCTAGAATGTTGACATTCTAGAATTCTGACTTTGAAATTCTGAGGTCAAAGTCAGAATTCTAGAATGTTGACCTCCTAGAATGTTGACATTCTAGAATTCTGACTTTGAAATTCTGAGGTCAAAGTCAGAATTCTAGAATGTTGACCTCCTAGAATGTTGACATTCTAGAATTCTGACTTTGAAATTCTGAGGTCAAAGTCAGAATTCTAGAATGTTGACCTCCTAGAATGTTGACATTCTAGAATTCTGACTTTGAAATTCTGAGGTCAAAGTCAGAATTCTAGAATGTTGACCTCCTAGAATGTTGACATTCTAGAATTCTGACTTTGACCTCAGAATTTCAAAGTCAGAATTCTGTCTAGACACAGATGTGTCTACAATTCAGTGAAAAACTTATGTAAAAAGAGTGAAAACTGGTCATGAGGATGAGTTAGAGGGAATTTTTTAGACAAATTCAACAGCCTCACCACTCTAGGTATGATATCACCACTACAGCCCTTGACTCTTTCTCTTCATAAAGAACAATGTACAGGATTTCTCATTTTAGCAAAGATTCAAATTAAATTTAGTCTTTTGAAAAGTACAAAGGAAGTTAAAATTGAATCTACAGTATGTCAAATTTGCTTTTGCATCATCAGTGAGCCGTGGGTGTCCATGAGCCTGTCGCCAGTTCACCATTTGTTCTTCCTTAGCCACTGTTGGTAGGTACTAACCACTGCAGACCAAGAACACCCACCAAGACCTGCAGGGTGGGAGATGCTCTGACCCAGTCATCTCACCATCACAGTTTGACCCTTGTCAAAGTCACTCAGATCCTTACACTTGCCAATTTTTCCTGCTTCCAACACATCAACTTTAAGGACTGAATGTCCACTTGCTGCCTAATATACCACACACACTGACCGGTGCCACTGTAACAGATAGTCAGTGTTCTTCACTTCACCTCTCAGTGGTCATAATGTTATGGCTGATTGGTGTATAAAGATGTCTTTTGAAAAAAAAAGACTTTTTTTTCTCTTGGCTCTTGTTCATTATTAACAACAGCAAAAGACTATAAAAACAAAACTGCAGCACCATAGAGAGATCATATGAAAAAAGAAAGGAGGGGGGTCTGCTTCTAATTACATCTCAATCTGGTGACCTAGCTTTTCATTTTGGCAGTTTTCCCCACTCCAGCGCCTGCCCAGGACTGTGCCGGAGAGTCAGGACTAATCAAAGGCACTTGTATGGAGAGAACTGTTGGCCTCTGAAGGGACTGAGCCAGTTCAGGCCAGCCTGCTGCTCTGTCTCTCCTTCTTTTTCTTCTCCCTCTCACTCTCTCTTCCTGTCCTGACTGTTTAAGAAGAGAAGATTGGGGAAATTCCTTCAAGCTACTTTATTTCAGGTTTCTGTGGGATTTAAACATGCACACTGGGGTTGTGGTACAGTCTATGTTAGTGCCATTGATTGTGATTCTGCTGTCTACCGTGGATGACACTTTGTTGCAGTCGGTGAGGTGAGTTTCCACACAGCTTTGTTTTCTCCTTGTTTATTCTGTGATAGTCTAGAGAGCAAGAAGGAAGAGGGAGGCGCTGTGTTTTGCTGAGAAAGAAAATGTTTGGAGACCACCGTGTGGAAAAGTTTAGGAGTGACTATACAGTACGTGGAGGCTGCACTTTTGGTTTTTTGTGCGGTTTCTTCATGTTGTTTCACATCCCAACTCTCATAATGTTGCATGACAAGTCAAATGGTAAAAGTGTGCTTCTTCATTTCTATTATTTAATGTTGTATTGCACTTATGAAAACCTGAAGACAAAGAAGTGTAAACAATGTTCTGACAACTTTCATAGTTATAAATTTGGTGCAAAAGAAGCTTCAGTGACACTGGCTAGAATGATGGTTATGTAGGTCAAAAATTTATTTCTGCAAAAAAAATTTTGCTTTTGTATATACTGTAAAATATGGAATGTTTAACTTAAGCCCCTAATACGTTAAACCCTCTGTATTTGAGTCGACTGTGAAAATCGAAAGAATGAAATAAAGTCAGTCACTGGAACTGATTAAAATAGGAATGTGAAAGATTAATGCCTGTTTACCTTTTCCTTTCTCAGTGGAACCTCAGTCTGCTGAAGTGTAAATGTTGCCATTAAACTTAATGCAGCTGCAGCAGTTATTACAAGCAGGTGCATCATGCCTGCTGAATATAATGTGTATGTTCTACTTTACAGTGTGTTTATGGGACAGCAGCAGCAAACCTACACTCTATCACAGAAGGTCTTCTCCATATAATCTCTACCTTGTTTATGTAGCTGGTGTGCCATCATAATTAACTTGACAGTGTGAAAAATCAAAAGTCAGTAATAAAGGCTATGCATTGTAACTTCAGAGCCAAAGAGTGTGATGCTAATACTAAGTAAAGCCCATATGACATTCACAATGTAAGCAATTTCTTAGAGCATATGGGTTAAAACAGAGGGTCTCAACCTGTACTCATAAAGCTAGGCTAACAATTTCAGTGATGACAGTGATGATGCTTTCGTTCTCATTAGTTTAGGTTAAAGTGCACTGAGTGCTCTAAACATGTTGAACCCTGTTTCTATTCCAGCCCTCTCTAATAGGTGGCATCAACATCAAGAGCCTCTGCTATAGTATGTTCATTTCACAGAGGTTATGTTCCATGTACTGTAGCGTGTCAGGACAACCACAGGGGAGACAGTGCAGACTGTGCATTTTTCTTCTTCTTTCATAAGTGACAGAAGAAAAACTTCACTGAGCTGCACTGTTCCAGACATTTATAAAAACAGTTCTACAAGAGATGTATTGGATTTGAGTATAACATTATTACCACCCCCATGGTAATATTTTGGCATTGAGACAACCCTGCAGGGACTGGTTAACAAGCTGATTATGTTGCAGTATGCCCAGGATCTCCAGGCCTGATTTTATATCCCAGTCTAACCCTGGGTAGTGAAGCCTGAAATGGGAAGACTTCCACTATCATTGTCTTCTTAGACATCTTCTAGATTACAATACCCATAATGACAAAGTCCCTTGTTGCTGAGGCTGAATCAGGAGGTATTTTACAGACTAAACAACCCTGGCAGCTGCAGTTCACAGTGATGTAGCAGTCCAAATGACTGACTGAGGCTGGAGGAGGACAGGGCAGTGTAACATAGAGACAAGATCATACTTGACTGCAGAAAGTCACCTGATGGAACGACCTCAGTGTGTGAAGCCCATGTGAAACTTGTGTAACCTGGACATGACACAGGAAACACACACATTCTGTATTTAATTTAGACTTAAGTGTTAGGAACACTTGATCTGTTGATTGTTTGAAATGTGTATACAATTACCACATTTTACAGCCATCCAATATAAAGACAAAGCAGGAACTGAAAAGGAACGTCAGACAGTATCCAGATGAAACAAATCCTACTGAGAGAAAACATGAAGTAAAAACAAAGTTCAGCTGCAGCTGCTGGTGAGGTGAATGTGAGGTGAAGCTGTTTCTCTGCAATTAGATAAAGGGGGGGGGGGGATGGGGGGGGGGCGTCTATACTTGTTAGACAGGAAGTCCACTATTTGTAATAGTTACTTGTTAATGTCATATTGAGTGTTATTAGTAAATTAAAGCCAAATTAACTGAACTTAGTATGTGTAGTTATTTTCAGTTATTTTCGCCTCCCTACCCTCTGGCCGAAGGTTCACAAGTGTGAAGTTTAGGACCTCTAGACTGAAAAACTCTTTCTTCCCCTCTGCCATCAGACTCCTAAACAGCTGAGGAGTTTGTTACCAGGAAATACGTCATGTACTGTTGACCTGTACTGTTTACATTCTCAGTTTGCACATGCATAATTGCACATTGACTGTTGAATGCTGCACATGCTGCTACCATGCAGCAGACAATCTCTATTATATTCTTATATGTTTTATTACATTGCTGCATTTGCCGCTTAAAGTGCCTTAGATTTAGTGTTACTTATTTATCTACTTTATATTTCATTTGTATTTTGTGGCATTCATGTGGACGGCAAAGTAAGAATTTCATTGTACAGGGAAACACGTTTCCTAACTGTGCATATGACAAATAAACACTTTGACTTGACTTGACATTACTTGTTATGCTTAAATTTGTATGTACAAGAAACACTGAAGCAATGAAATGGACTCACATTGAAGGTAAACACTATTAAATTATAAATGTTTATGAGTGTTTTTATTTAAACTATACATTTTGAATATAGGTCTTTGTTGAAGTATGAAGGAACACATTGCTACCACAGGTATCTCAGTGAAAAACTTTCTGCTCAGCAGTGGTATTTTGCTTTTCAAACAGGCACATGTGATAGCACACTTGATCCTTGACCTCAGAGTTTGCAAAGCTGCAAAACAACTGATGTTTCCTTCTTTTTCCCCAGCCAGGTGGGAGGTGAGTGTAGGCTGTCCACAGAGTCATCTCTGCGCCGCTGCAAGACACCTGATGGCAAGATTTGCAGCGGGAGGGGCAAATGTGACTGCGGCACCTGCATCTGCGAGGCCACGGATCCGGGGAAGTTCTACGGACCTCGCTGCGAGTGCCACAACTGGGTCTGTGTTACATATAATGGAAAAACTTGCAATGGTGAGTACACTATGTACTGACATGGAGCCAAATGGTTTGGTGTTAAAGCAAAGAGTCAGATATAACACTGTTCTACTTTCTTTAATTGGCACACTGGCCAACAAAGGTTTGATTGTCTGGGGTTTTAAAACTATCTGCCACTAACTGTGCACCATCTGACAGCTCAGCATGTTTGAGGTATGGTTATAAGTAGTGGTCAGTAAGTGATACTGCACTGTTAGCTTACATCAGAGAAGCTCACCTGCTGAAGATGCTTTAGCCAGGTACTAGGAAGAATGAAGCACTTAAGGGTGTAACCCTTTAACCTACAAAATATATTTAGGCTTTTAATATCCTTTTCATTTTTATTATTTGAAGTTAAAAACATGCTTTTCACAGATTTGGAATGGCTTTAGTGAATTTTGTTTCATCTGTTTCTCTCATTATTGCTGAATCAGAGGGGTTTTGGGGGGGTTTTGTGTCATGCCTCTCAGTACCTTGGCAGTACTTTAAAATGTTTTGTCATAGACAGCTGGTTGGTTCTCATACATTACCAAGGCATTTGCTTTTGTTGAAAAGTATGCTTTGACCTTAGCCTGTTGCCTGAAAATTCACATAAAGAGCACTTAACAATGCATCCACACTCACAAACATGTTGCCTCATCAGAAAGTCTCCACTTTCCACAATAATCTTCCAAGAACACAGAATTGACAGACCCACATATTACAGAGAGAAAAATTAACTTGATTAGTAAGTTGTTATACTTAACTTTACAAAGCTCATTAAGTAGGCTAGACATACTCTGCAAGCTAATATAGAGGAGCATCAAAGGGAAAGGTGATATTCATTTTACACTACTTGGCTGCTAATTTACTAGGGACATCAGTCTAATACAACAGCCCTGCTAAAGAGTTTTAGGTGTAAATTTAACTTGTTTTTTTGTGTGTCATTCTTATAGGGTTGATAAAACCTTTAGAATTACTGTTTTTGTATGAACAGTTAGTCAAATGATTACATATGTTGTAATGTGAAAGGGACTGCTCATGTTGATTAACCCAAAGAGAGTTGTCATCAGACTTTAGCAGTCTGTCTTTGCTCTACAGAGCTTTATAATTTGTAAGAACGTTTTATGTCACTGATTCTTCTGTCCATGACTGTACTGCTTTCCTCTCATTGCTTTCATAGCATTGTTTCGAGATACACGCAGCTGTTTTCAGCAGCAACAACAAAAGAATATTATTACTTTGTACCGAGCTGTATTTCTAATATTTACTCTACCTTCATTGTTTGGAAAATGAATGACGAATGGATGAATCGGAAAGACAAATCCAAGAATCATCTCTAACTATAGCACAATACAGTTCAACAGCACTACAAAGCCTCTTAAAGGTTGATAAAGTTAAATTAACAACTAAACACCAACTTTCTACAAAAACTGAATGTATTGCAGGGTTGATGTATTAAACCCCATCAGCTTTTGCTAGGTGTATTTAATAAACTGGCAACTAAGATACAACATAATACACTGTAGGTACAAGAGGAGTGGTTTCAGTTTGTTAACTCAGCAGACACTTACTTACCTTAATAGTTGTGAGAGGTGCTGATCTTTGTATAGATGTACTTGAAAATAATATCTACCTTTATCTTTGGTGTCCTCTGTAGTCATCGGGCTATGAGTGCCCTGGTTTAATGTGTCTTTCCTGGACAGGTCTAATGGAGATATATATGTCTATGCGTGCAGGTGAGGGGTGGAGTGATTTATTTTGGTATATA